GGAACCCATCTATATCCCATAAGCGGGGATCAAACCGCCGTATGCGCTTTATTCCAGAGCTAGGACATTAGCTCTGATAAATGTGAGTTTTATATTATTATTTCTACACATCCATATAAGAACTCTACATACTACACTATTGGTTGTCCCCCTCTCTCTTTTTATCTTTCATATAAGTGGACTCACTACAAAGTAGAAGACGTCAACAGCAAAGACTATCTGTAAGGACAATTACATTGGACTTTTCCTTCTTTCTAATTGGACTTTATTTTATTTAAAAATAACTTTTTTATTTTTTCCAATTTTATCTGTGTGCGCAGCCTTTTTTCTTCTTTTTTCTTATTTTATCCAAATTAAAGGGTTTGAGGGATCCCCTTTAAAAGGTTGCTGCCTATAAGTTATCTAGCGCTGTCTTTCTCTTTTTCCTTGTTACCATATGACACCCTATGTCTACAAGTTTGGCAGCGCATATGTCAGTGCCAGAATTCCTCTGTCATGCCCACTCCTGTTGCAACTTTTAACAGTAAAATCTTAGCAAACCACCTCCTTCCTTGGCCTGGGGCTGTGAAGGGTTCTCAACCCTGTTGGGTAGTACCTGTCCACTACCCAAGAAATTTCACCACTGTCACCAACTCAGAGTAAATGGAGGTCCTAAGGGTCTCACTGGGGACATAGGCCTCTACACTAAAGGGGGTAAGGTCACTGGACAATTGGTCAGGGCTATCGGCAGGGCTCGGGGCTGGAGTATATGCATATTGGGGTATCACAGTGACTCTTTGGCTCACCTTTCTCCGCAAGCCTGCACTATTTATCTTCTTGGTCAGATGCTTTCCTTAAGATTTGGAATTGGCTAAACTCGCTTTCTTGCTACCTTAATAAAAGGTCAGATGTTTAAGAAATCTAATTTTTGATGGTCAACCTTTACCCAAGTAAACTCCATGGTGGTTATATATTTGCTGTACTTATGTTTTTATATTGCATATTCTGTGTTGTGCACATTCACCTCAATAAAAAATTATTGAGGATTTATGAGGATGAGTGAGGATTTACGGACAAGATTTTATACAGCAAAATACATGAAAATAAAAACTTATACTCATTACTGGTATTAAAGGGGTTAAGCTAAAGTTGTTTTAGTGCTTATAGTGTCCCTTCAAGAAGGACTATTTATTATACTCAAAAATGCCATGCAAAATAATAAATAACTAATTCTGAGACATAAAACAGAAATACATTTTTCAGGCAAGGAGGTAATAAACTGTCCCAGATCCAATGGGATTTTTTGATTGAAGAAACTTGCATTTCTATGTATTTGGCTGTCTCTAAGACATAGAAGAAAATAAATGAAAACCCTACAAATGCTTGAAAACCTCTTGGGTACCTTGGGCATACTGAAGTGCTTCCATGATGTCCTGACCAGAGCTGGTTGTATTTCTAACATGCCTTTTCATTCATCTACTACCTCAAATATTTTCCTGCTCATTACCCAGCCATCCCCAACATTCCGTTGATGCTGATTCTCATTGTGGAAGAATTACATGTGGCTTCACATCACTGCCTACATGTTAAGTATCATTCTTAAAGTGGTAATGTCACCATTGCATTGAAATGTTGACTTTGCCGCTGGTGGTCCGTTGCCGCTGGGGTCAGGTAAGTCCCTCGCAGGCACCGACATCTTGGTCGCGCTGTTACTCTTTAAAGCACCAGGACCCAACATCATTATGGTCTATGGGGAATCCAGTAAGACCGCGGGATCCTCCATAGACATAATCAAGTTTATCAGTGACAGCTGCAGGCTCCGAGAAATACAGAGACACAGTAGTTCCTATTTGTTAAATTCTAGCACAGTTATGAGTATTTCATAAAGTTTCTATCTTTATGAAATACAAATTATTATTTATTGGGGGGGGGCATGCTGCTTTAAATGTTGGAATTAACAGTTAACATATTCATTAGAGGGGCAGAGGTTTAAAAATAATATCAGGAAGTATTACTTTACTGAGAGGGTAGTGGATGCATGGAATAGCTTTCTAGCTGAAGAGGTAGAGGTTAACACAGTGAGGGAGTTTAAGCATGTGTGGGATAGGCATAAGGCTATCCTTACTATAAGATAAGGCCAGGGACTTACGAAAGTATTTCAAAAATTGGGCAGCCTAGATGGGACGACTGGTTCTTATCTGCCGTCACATTCTATGTTTCTAATAGCTATATAAGGAATCACGTTCTTATCAACTTCATCCACTAACAAATGCATTGAAGACAGTTATTTGTAAAACAAAGGCTAAATAGCAGGGCAAATGGGTAAATGTTCAACTAAAGTGCTAAGTCAGACTTCCCATATACAATAAATAAATAAACTGTTAAAAATGTAAATTAACAAAACATGCATACTTGGGGCTTGACTTGTTTATGTTTACTATAGTAATTAAAATGTCAAAAATCAATAAACTATTTCAAGTAACACAACAAGAGCAGATTAAATCTTCACAAATTGCTTAAGGCAATCATTTACATGGGCACTGTAAGTAAATTCAAAGAATTAGATGTTTTTCAAGTAAAACATAAGACTCATTACATTGTGACATTTGTGAAATGGTTTACTAGAAGAGAGTATGGGTTTCTGCTACTATAATCAAGCCAATGCTATTTTCTATTTAATACTGTATATTTGTACTTCACTTTAAATAATGATAGAAGATTAGATGAAGCTGTAGTGTTGTCAAATGTATACATTATCAGAGTGTAACCAGTGCATTGTATGGCTATCTTCCAGGTACTCACAAAATGATCAAAATCAAGGGTGCAAGGTTTTCACTGGGCTGCAACTTTGGAAAACCCATAACAACATTTTCAAATAACCTGGTAATTGAACATAAGATCTTGGTTGCAGAGGTTTTCTATTTTTTGCATATTCTGGTACTTTGCTTCATTTGTTTGTGAGAGAGCACGCTAGAGTAGTGTGGACCATCTGTGGAACCTCAGACTCTAGGTCAACATTGACCATCATTACTCAGAAACTCTCTTTATGTCCGATAGTCTTTTCACTAAAAGTGAAATAATTTATTGTGTACAGATCTGTGCCTGCCCTGACAAACATGTATGCTTCTTCTGCACCAGGTTTCCAATAAATTCAGGGGCAATGGAATTTCTCAAATGAAACGGGGCAGGTGCCTACCTTGCCCCTTCCTGTGGACACTCATGATCAAAACTGAGATGGACAAACTGAACTGTAATCTTTTACGTTTATGCCCAAAAGGTGCGCACCCTCTCCTTTTACAAATAGGAAGGGATAAATTAGTGTTGTGGCCAATTTCTGTTGCAATTTTAAACCAATGAAGCATAGTGCCTCTTTTCCACTAAACAAATTAGACTGCAACTGGGATTGTTTGGAGTATTTTAAAGGACCACTATAGTGCCAGGAAAACATACTTTCCTGGCACTATAGTGCCCTGAGGGTGCCCCCACCATCAGGGTCCCCCTCCCGCCGGGCTCTGGGGAGAGGAAGGGGTTAAACACTTTTTTTTTTTTTTTTATTCTTTATTTTTGCTGTGCATGGTTAAACATTCGTATATCAGTAATGCCACAACAGCATTCACAAACAGTTTACAAGCACTTATTCGCTAACTGCTGAACAGCATTAGAGAAAACGCACATTTTTTTGGTTAATAATGCAAGCTAGATACAAGCTGGGTAACTACGTCTGTCGTGAATTATTTGTCGATTAATAACAGTAGCTTAAGGTTGAATTTTGTTATGTATCACCGCTTTAGTGTCATTGATATGGTTATGCATGACTATGCTTAAGCGAAGGACATACATTTTGTTCAGTAACAGCATAACATGTAGTAGGTAACACATTAAATTAACGTTCAGGTTATGATAGATTACGCAGTGCTGACTATAGAGAAGTATGCAGTTCTATTTCGGTTTCCAGCTTAGCTAATATTATAATTAAAGCAGGGTGCCACCAGGCAGAGCATCACACATTCCACTATCTCCCTCAGTACGTACTAAGCTTAAACAAAAATTAACTATATACAAGGTTATATGCAGAGGTTGTGTATGTTAGTCAACGCATACTGTGCATTATGCTTCATATTGTGAACGGCTGGGGTCACCGCCAGCTCCAACTGAGCGCAAAGCGTGAAACAGCAGGGTCATAGTCCATGCCTAGGTGTGGGGAGAGTTCTTGGAGATTACCCTATGAGATCCTATAGTCCCGCCATAGCTTCCCAGTTGATGGGCATATTTGAGTGCCGTGCCTTGTAAGCCTTGGTGTGCAGTCAAGGGCTGTAGCACCTTGCGATCAATGGTTGTTTATTCTTTCAGCACCGATCGTGGATGGAGCTTGCTCGGTCTGATGTGGCCCGGAGTGCGCTTCGGGTATTGCCGCTTTGACACGGGTACGTGGTAGAAGTGCTGGCTGTCATCTCTCAGCATGCATGTGCCAGTGTCGCTGTGTGGGGGCTCAAGGGCCCGTAAGGACCTCCTGTGATTACAGCTCAGGTTGTGTGTGTGTCGTCTCAGAGGGATTACCGTCTCAGTCAGCGAAGTTGCTGTGCAGCAGTCGGCCATTTTGATGAGACCGCGTGGTAGCCTTTCTCCTACTGCTTCGGGCCGCCCAGGTGAGATGCAAAAGCGGTAGCCCGCCCGGTGGGGGCCGGGATGACCCCCCCGGCCCACAGGGGGGGGTAACGGGACCAGGAGTGCGCCAGGCAAATGATAGTTGCTGTCGGGGCGGAGAGCGAGGCAGCGGCCGTCCGCCTCACTCCCTTCCCGGGTAGGCCTCAATCTCTGAGCCCCAGAGTCTCTCACCAGGACCTAGGGCCACCCTGCTTCGGGCGCCCCAGCTACACCGGGACACTCCAGAGCTTCTTGCCGTGGACCCCCGGGTCAGTATAAGCCGGGTAAGATGGGTATATACCCTGAATTTCTTTGAGTCCTCGGGGAGCTCTTGTGATATGCAGCCTGCTGGCATGGCCGCCCGGCCCCGCCCCCCCGGGGTTAAACACTTACCTTTCTCCAGCGCTGGGCAGGGAGCTTTCCTCCTCCTCTCCTTCTTCCTAGCGACGTCATAGGATGAATGCGCATGAGCAGCAGGAGCCGCGCACACATTCAGCCAGTCTCATAGGAAAGCATTCATAATGCTTTCCTATGGACTCTGGCATCCTCTCACTGTGATTTTCACAGTGAGAATCACGCAAGCGCCTCTAGCGGCTGTCAATGAGACAGCCACTGGAGGCTTTAGAGGCTGGATTAAGCCTCAGTATAAACATAGCAGTTTCTCTGAAACTGCTATGTTTATAAAACAAGGGTTAATCCTATCTGGACCTGGCACCCAGACCACTTCATTAAGCTGAAGTGGTCTGGGTGCTTATAGTGGTCCTTTAAACTCTCATAGTAGAACAGATGTGGTTATTTAATGTAGTTCTGCATTGTAACTTGGATAGTGTGCACTCTGTTAATCGTTGTCATGGATGTCCACCACAGTCACTACCTGGAAGGTTTGACCAGGGCCGGATTAGCATACGGGCTGATGGAGCTGCATGGAATAGGCCCAATAATTTTTTTTTTTTTTTACACACTACTATTAGGGTTGCCAGGTATTTCTCAGAAGTATTTCTCAGGTATTTGAGGCTGCCTAGCCAGTGCCGGTATTGCAGTAATACCGGCAATACAAATGTCTATCTCAGTATAAACAGAGATTATTCTGCAATACCAGCGCCAGCCAGTAGGGGTCGCTGTTTGTGTGGAGAGAGGCAGGGATAAATAGTTACAGCATCTGCCACTCTCTACTCACTGATCCGCGGGGGAGCAGCTCTTCACAGAGAGTCCAGACAGCAGCTACGAGCCTGCGAGACATGGGGACGATTAGAGACTTGGGGACACTGAGACATTGGGACACTGGTAGACATGGGGACCCTGAGACACTAGGGACACAGTGGCCCCATGTCTCCCAGTGGCCCCTAATCTCTGTGTCCCCATGTCTCCCAGCCAGTGTCCACATGTCTCCCAGTGTCCCTGATGTCTCTCTGTGTCCCCATGTTTCTGTGTCCCCATGTGTCCCTGGTGTCTCTCAGTGTCCCCATGTCTCTTCATGTCCCCATGTCTCTCCCAGTGTCTCAGTGTCCCCATGTCTCCCAGTGTCCCAATGTCTCTAAGTGTCCTCTAGTGTCCTAGTGACATCGGAACACTGGGAGACATAGGGACACAGACTCTAAGGGACACTGGGAGACATGGGAATACAAATACTAGGGGACACTGGGCAACATGGGGACACTGAGACACTAGGGGGCACTGAGAGACATGAGGACACTGGGTGACTTTGAGCCCTGGGAGACATGGGGCACTCCCAGTGTCCCCATGTCTTCCAGCCAGTGCTCCTAGTATCTCAGTATCCCCTTGTCTCCATGTCCCTGGTGTCTCTCAGTGTCTGCAGTGTCTCAGTGTTTCCTAGTCTCCCAAAGTTCCCTAGTCTCCCAGTGTCTCAGTGTCCCAATGTCTCCTAGTGTCACCTAGTATAAAAAGAATCTCAGGCACGCACTGTGATATATTTAAGTCTAGTGAGCAATCAACAGAGGGAAGCTGTTATATTTCTACTCCTGTCTCTATTCTGCCTGTGAATACCTTATGAGTTAATAATTACTCAATCATTTCTAGTTCGCAGAGAGATTTTTCACGTATTTTTTAATTCAAGTTTATTCAAGACAGGTATTAGATATGAGCAGTAGATATTGGCCGTAATCTGAAACAAGTTACCAACCCCATAAAAATTAGGGTTAAAGCAACTGTAGCTAATTAGTAGCCTCTTTATGCTCTCTCTGTTTTGCAACAATATTGCAACACTGTGATAATACAGAAGCCCTAACCTGACAGCTATCTGACTCAGTTTCTTCACTCAAACTGTCTCGTATATTGAATTGCATTAACCAAAATTAGGAGAAGAGAGATTGCAACAATGTGTAATTACAAACAACCTTCTACTAGTTCTGTATTACCATATTGTAGAATCAATGACATCAGCCATCTGCTCCCTGTATCCTAGACACCTACTCAGTGTGATATAAGAAAATCCAACTCCTGATAAAGACCTCACTCAATAAAGTCAGAGATTAGGACAATTGGACGACTTTATATTCTTTATCTGTTTCTGCATATATCATCTATTTTTCTGAGTAGGTAGAGGTATAGCCAGTTGGCTTTGGATTTGCTATCTGACCATTAATATAAGTGGTGTGCAGCATTCTATCAAAGAGCATACATTTCCTCATCTTGTGTTCCTTTCCAGCTAACACCGACATTCAGAGTCTTTTAGCTCTGGAAATAGGTAGTTATTACGCTGTGATAGATTTAAGCAGGTTTATTGGACACCGCAACGTTTCAACCTGTAACCAGGTCTTTATCAAGTCTCCAGTGTGCCCTATGTATCACAGTGTCCCCTGTGTATCAGAGTGTTCCAGTGCCCCATGTCTCCCAGTATCCCTGGTGTGTTTCAGTGTCCTTAGTGTCTCAGTGTCCCCTAGTCTCCCAGTGTCCCCATGTCTCACAGCGCATCCAAGTGACTCAGTGTCCCCTAGTATAAAAGAAAAAAGTCTCAGGCACTCACTGTGCTAGATTTAAGCAGGTTTATTGGACACCGCAACATTTTGACCTGTACCCAGGTCTTTATCAAGTCTCCAGTGTCCCCTATATATCAGTGCCCCCTATGTATCACAGTGTCTCAGTGCCCCATGTCTCCCAGTGTCCTCTCATGTCTCAAAGTTACCCAGTGTCCCCATGTCTCCCAGTTTCCCCAAGAGTCTCAGTGTCCCCAGGTCTCTCAATGTCCCCTAGTGACATAGGGACACTGGGAGACATGGGGACACAGACATGCCCCCTTTTTGTGTATGTTCGCCCCTTTCGGCAGTTCTGGTTATGTGATTTTGCCCCGTCTATAGACTTCCTGCTTTACTGGACACTGCTGTTAGGGGGTATGGGTTTACTTGAAAGATGAAAGCGTGGGTATGTGTTTTCTCATAGCTGCATCCTATGAGTTTCCCTCCAGCACCATCTCTATCAGATACATGACACTTAGGAGGTAGGACTGTTTTAGTATTTTTGGTCAATAACATTTTGTAACTAGGCCCATCATAATTGTCAGCACCAGGCCCAGTGGGCTCTTAATCTGGCCCTGGGTTTGACACAGTACTCTCCCAGTTATCAAACCTTCTAGATATTGTGGTTTAATTGGCAGAAGGAAAGGAAAAAAGGAATCAAAATGATGATTTTGTTCCATAAAAAGTGTTTTGTCAAGTATTATCATCTTCAGGCTTTGTACATAAGACAAAATAGTCCCGGTTTTGCCTTATATTATCGTCTGATTACATTAAAATATCAATTAAATTCTAATGCAGTCAGTGTGAGCATTTCATAGAGATTGTTTCTTTGTTAAATTCTCAATATTTATATTGTTGTAACAGAGCCAGTTTACGTATGCTGAAACCAAGTAAGTTTAGGATGATATAGATGTATTTTGGCATTTGGCATTTGGTCACTAATAAAGTGAGAATTGTGGGGAATTCAAAATTAATTCAAGTGAATTTCAATTACCACTTTATCTCAATGAAGTGGTTTGGGTGCAGTGTCCTTGTCCCCTATCCCTGCAATGTAAGACATTGTAATTTTTAGGAAACAGTGCTTGCTGCGCATTACGCCCAGGGATGTCAGCCCTGGAATTGGTGAAGTACAGTAACTCTTACAGGGGGGTGGGGGGTGGTGAGCTGCAAGGGTAAGGGAAGGGGGGGGGGAGGTGGAGGAGCAGAGAGAGCTATAGTGTAAGGAATACAACTTTTTATTCCTAGCACTATAATATCCCTTTAGTCCTCCTTTCGTACTGACATACTGACAGCAACTATAGGGACGTCCTTTAATTGAACAAAAATCTGTATTGGAGAATTCTTCCAGTTCAGCTGTATTCAGCTATCACATTAATAAATGTCCCTGAACATTTTTTACTTCAGATTTCAATACAGATTTACTGACTAAAGTGAAGATTGTCTAGAAATCAAACTAAATACAAAGTGAATTTCAAAGTTAAGGCCAAAATAAACAAACTGGAAAGATTCTCCATGTCAGCTGTGCTTTAGATTTGGCTAAATTGGCCTTAAACATGAAATTTACCCTGAATTCACTTTCAACTCCCAACAATTCTCACTTTAGTGAATAACCCTAAAGATTTTCAAGCCATATGTTCATCAAACATTTCTAAAAGCATTTGTAATTTCTTTAAAAACAGACAAAAAAACAAACCTTTAAAACTTTCACACATGGCAGACTTTGCTAAATGAGGTATATGCAAATGTAAATTTTGGAGAAATAAGATATTTAGAAAAATATATTCCAAATTAAAATAATCCCTTTGCATCTCACAAGAACCTAACACATAATATAAAAATGACACAATGAGTTAGTGACACATCAATGGCAGACATGCATAGAATTATATGTGACTAAGACAGACCGCACTTTGGTATCTATTTACGGCTGACTCATCGTGGGTATGGGTGCGTATGCTCATGCATATAATGTAAATGTATTTAATTGTATTGAACTATTTCTTCTATCTATGTGTACGCGCACGTTAACCCAGGGTGGTGCCACAGGAAACAGAGGGCTTCTTGGGACTGTAACTTAAGTCCTGCTTAACCAGATACTGAACATGATGGGAGTTTAGGGACGTTAGAGTTCTGGTTGTGAAATGGTCTCTGTTTGTGTGAGATGAAAGTTTATTCAGTGCATGAGATGAGAATGTGTGGACTTAGTGTGCATGTCTCGATACGCTGAGTATCTGTGAGCTGAGTGTGTATTTCAGTGTGAGTTTAATTCCCGTGAGATGATTGTGCTTGTTATTAGTGTGAGCTTAGCATGCGCATGATAAATGCATGTGACTAGGCCCACTCCACATATCCCTTATACCGTTCATTTAAACTCATTTTTCTTTAAGATACACTAGAGATGTAATTCGTAGCTAAAGAAGGCTTTGGTTATCTGAAAGAAAGTTCCCAGAGTTGGACAGATATTACTAAATCATATTATGAATAAAATCTTTAATTGAGTAAACAAAGTTTGCATCCTACAAGGCTATCAAATTGAAAAACATATATATAGTTTGTTCATATATAGGTTAGGAGCTCTTCTAGGAATACCATATGACAAACAACAAGATAA